GTGACACAAATAATGGCTCTGTTCATCGAGACGTCAATAGAATAAACAACTCTAAAAATTTTTATATTCGGCGAAAGGCAGACTAAAAATCTACCCCAACAACCAAGTGAAAGAAATCTAGTCATATCACCATTTAATTTCCTTGATATTTTGATATCACTATCAACTATTTCCAACTACTTGTAATATTTTGGCTGATATTGCACCAAATTTCAGTTGTTGCAGACATGTAGGCTCAATTTTAATTTGCGCCTTGGATGTACAATTTCTCTTGTTGTAGAAAAAGATCCAGTTTACTCACTGATTGACATGTTACCTTCACGTTAAGGTTTGATTTGATTTCGGGTCATGTAGGTGATTTTTTTTAAAAAGTTTAGGTGATGATGAGACTTGAACTCAGTATAGTTGTCCGATGTAATATTATATTGAAGTATGTAACCATCTTATTTTTTACAGTTAATTATATCTTCAATAACACGTGCATCGAACGTTTGCACGCATGCACGAGTAGAGGGAGGTCATGGGTCGTATTCTTTTCAATTGTCCGTTGATAACTTTGATCTAGCTCTACAATGCATGTGTGGTAGGGGTGTGAAAAATCAAACCGATCGATAAATCGAATCGAAAAAAATGTTATTGGGTTATTGGATTAACGGGTTTTTAATGGTTTTATAATAAAAAATTACTATTGAGTTGTCGGTTCGGCATTGATTTTTAATATTGGGTTAATGGATAAATCGATAGTCCATTAAGACTAGTAATTTACTACATTTACTTGTACATAAATATTATATATTAATCTCAATATCTTACTAGTTACTCTCTTTATCCTTTAGCCTTCAATTCACACTTCAAGGTGACTTTTAGTTCACAACTTCACATTATACAAAACGTCAAAATCTAAAGTAAGAACCATATTCCTCTTAATTTCTCTTTGTGTTACACTTGTATAGTTTTTTTTCATTACATTATTGTGTTGTCGCGTCAAATTTATTAGAGAAGTCATATACTTGTTTTATAAGTATTTTTTTTATTGGTTAAACCGAAAATCGAACCGTGAAGGACCAAAATCGATAAAAAAATTCTTATTGATTTGGTTATTGGTTTAACATATTTAAAAATCAAAAATCGATAAACCGAACCGATAATACATAAAACTGAACCAAACTGACCTATGCACACCTGGAATATGTGGTCACGCCATGGATTTTGAAACCTGGACACGAGGTTTGAATATTAAGTATGAATCATAGTTCAAATATTTCTTAGTATATTTTATATTTCAAATATTAATCTTATATTGCTCCTAATACCATCTCACAATCGATCAATCGAACTCTTAATATATTAAAGGTCGAAGAATCTCAACCTTCTATCGCAGTCCGTTTTGATTATCCTCCAAGTGTCATCATAGAATGTGTTTGAAATTACATTATTTAATCTTTATTCTTACCAACAACTCCCTTTTTAATATTCTTAATTTCCATACTTTGGCATTTTCATTCTTTTAGACACAAATTTCAACATAACTCTAGGCATGGAGATTTGCAATTTGCTTAGAAAGACAGCAATGTTAAAGAAGTTTATACACTACATTTTAAAAAATATATACATAAAATATTATCATTAGGGTTTATCGATTTCCAAGAATTAAATATGTATACCAGCCGGAAGAAACAAACCTAACGGTTGGAGCAAGCTTGGTTATTTAAGCCTTGACGAATTTAAATAAAATAACATGATTGGCAAAAATTTATAGTCAATTTTAATTTATTGAAATTAATACGTTATTATTATTATTATTTATGTTTTCTATAGTATGTTTGGAGGAGAGTCAGTATAATGGGGTATACCAACATGGTTGGTAGTGGATGATATTCTTTTTGAAAAAATCGTTTCATGTTTGAATTCTTAAAATAAAATTAAAAAAAAAAAATATTGTTGGAAACATCACTCCAGAAATGAGCCATTTAATACGTAAATTCAAATTTAATTGACTCCCATTATAAGTATCGAACCTCGAGTGAAAAAGAAAAAGAAAAAGAAAAAAAAGTACAAATGGGGTATGTGAGATTTTTGACCTATCGATTATTAAAATGCTTGACCTACTCACAGGCTGTATTTTTAAGGCTTTAAATAAATGACCACTAATTATTTTTCAAGATTTAAAAATGTATAAATACACTTAGTCAACCAACTAATTAATTAATATGCAACCATACAAATCCAAACACCAAGAAAGAGTAGACATGATGTGAGAATTCCCTTAGCAAAACCATGTGATATGAGTATAATGTTGATTTGGACCCCATTTTCAGTATTAAATCGCAATAACGATTCTGGTGAGATGAATAGAAATTACGATTCTTCATTTTTAATTAGAATTTTTGAGTTTGAGTCATGTGTATGAAAAAATCAAGTTAAGGAGTGTCTTCCTCTTAAATAGGTTACACAGTATGAATTCAAATTAATTAGTGTTTCAATATAAATATCGAACATCAAATGAGCAATAAAAAAAAATCACTTCCATTAATGTGTTATAATACACTTTACAATCTTATGATTTGTATAGAGTTTACAAATTGATAGCTATAACGACATTTTTATGTAAAATTTTGTAGGATAATTATTTAGTAAATGATCTTCACTTTTTATTGTTCTTGCAACTTATGAAGTTTTTAGACCACGAACTTCATCATTGATTTACTCATAGCTAATAGAATTATAGAGTATCTGTCACTTACAGAATTAGAAATGAATTTTATTGTTTAGAAACATTATTTACCTGTTGCTAATTTCTATCGAAAATTTAAAGCAGGTTGATAAAAAAAAATTAATTCACCCTAAAATGTGATAGTATATGCTTTTTTTTGTGCTTTGAAAAGGACTCAAATGTCAACCAACTATTAGAAAATTGATTACATTTTTTTATTATTTCCTTGGTGTTGTAGAATATTTAAACAAAGGGAAAAAGAATTTCAGGATATTGACAAAAATAAATAAAGACAACAAAGCAAAGGAATTTACTTGTAAAATATTCTTTTACACAATCAAATTACTTGTAAAACAATTGTTAAATAAAATCTCTATAACAAATATCACAATAGTAATATGAGAAAAATTATAATTAATTTATCATCACAAAGCAAACTATATTATGTTAATGAGTTATGTTTATAGTTTGAAATGAAATCAACTATCAACATGAATTGTGGTTGGATGATTGATATTCATTTGCTCTTAATTAGAAATTTCGAATTGAAACTCTTAATGAAAAATCATGTTAAAAGCAACATCTTTAGAAATAAGCTATGCAATACACAAATTCAAATTTCATCGAGTCATTAAGACAAATATCGAAATTATAATTTATAAGTGACCCAAAAAAGAGGGTAACTGTCTGGAGGTGGGGTCACTTGTGGTGTAGGAAAAACAAATAAATGAAAGCACATTATTGAAAATAGTGTCAAGAAAAACACAAGTTACATACTCCTTTTGAGTTTCAAATTTTACAAATGGTAAAATTCACAAATAATTTCTTTTTACGCCTTTATAATTGTAATACATTTATTGTCTTTGAGTTTCAAATTTTATAAATGAAATTTTAATCGACTATAATACACAATGATCTTGTGTTATACTTCACCGGTGGAATTGTGTCATGATCAAGAATAAATACAAAATAATTTTTGGACGATAATATTATGAATGATTCAAAGAATTACATAAGGTATGGCAGAAAAGTCTTTTTGAACCGAGTGAAGATAAAATCAACCAAACTAATTTGAAATTTTAACATATCAAGTAAAATTTACAAATGAAAGAGTATAATACAATATTTTTAATTCATGAATTTATAATGACCATCATGTTCTATTAGTCTGATCTTCTATCTATGTTGAGCGGAGCTAAGTATCATCTATTCACTAGGATAAAGCTCTTCCTTTACAGTGTCCTTGTGCAGTGAATCATCTCCCATTGGAAGTCGTCCGTCGTCCTTAAATAATCGCACGTAGAGTAATCTTGTGTGTAAACATAACATTTCTGGTTGAATTCGTCCAACCCAACTAAGAAGAATCGAACTCGACAGACTTTTTTTTTTCTTCTAGAATTTTAAAATAAAATACTATTTATTTTTGTAAAGATAATATCGAAAATAACTCGTGTACTTTATTTCTACAAATAAAACTTTTGGTGATAATGTTATAGCGGGGGCTCAAGTCACATGCTCATAATACAAAATTCTCAATTAGCTAGATGATAATGGAATCTTTCACTTTTCCTAAGTTTTTAAATAAATAAATGATAAAGACATCCAATTTAGGACACAATTCAACTACTTTCCCTCAATCAAAGGGAGACTTCAATCACCCCAACCCCCCCACCCCAAACCCCAACACACACACACAAAAAAAAGGTACATTGTTGAAATTAGTTTTGTAAAAATGAACCTAATTTACGATAACATGTAGTGTCAAGTCAATAAGAATCAAGAAAAACAAATAAAGACGGAGTAGCTTGATTATATGTATAGTGTTTTTTTTTCTTAAGAGTATAATTGAATTGATCGTGTTATGCAAGAATATAATCCTTTTGACATTATATAACACACATTTTTAGAATAATCGCTTCAATTTGTTTGATATGATTTTAATATTCAAAACATCGATTTAGATGGTTAATGAAAAACAAAATCAACTCAAATCGAATCATGAATTGCTACTTATGGTGTTCTTGCTTTTGAGTCCAAACATATAAAATAGTTGAAATCTCTTCACCTTTAACAAACGACTGAAAAAATTGATAACATTTCGATACACAAAGCTCTATCCCACTCAAACTCAAGTTAATCGAATCAATAAATTTCAAATAACCAATATTGTTCATCAAGAAAAAATAAAACATCAAGTGGGAGGATTGTAAGATCAAGAAGTTACATACAGAAGAACACCTATTAGATATAGAAAGAAATCATCTGAATTATGAGGAATCAATACAAGTTTTAAAAGAAAATAAAAAGCTCATCTTATACTATAGTTTGGAAGAACCAAAAAAAAGAAAAATTACAAAGAAATCAAAGTATGATCATTAAATAAAACCAGTTGCAGCAAGCACTGTAAACTGGTTTCTAATTCAAGATTATGATCTCTCTATACATACATTTTCCAGCAAAGTTTCAATCTTTACTTTGCCAATTTATTCTCTCCACAACTTCAACCTAATTATAACAATTCAAAAATAAAATCATTGGAGATTGAATCTTTCTCCTCTTTACCTCCTCTATCTTTCTTTCTGTCATACCATTGAAGGTTCGTGATCACATATTAGCTCGATTTTGTTGATGGCTTGAACAGTTTAGGAAATAATAATTGTAGGAACTATTTTGTGCTCTGAGGATAAGAGTTAGTGAAATTTCTGAAAGAATTAATAAAAGGGTGGTGGAGGTGGTGAAGCATATTGAACTCCTATTACTGGTGGTAATGGCCCTTCGTATACTGGAGTAGGTGGTGGTGATGGTGGGGGTGGAGAATTGTAATAATAAACTGGTGGTGGAGGTGATGGAGATGGTGGGGGCGGAGAATTGTAATGATAAACTGGTGGTGGAGGAGGAGATGGTGAAGGGGAGGGGGGTGGGGGTGGGGGTGGTTCAATGCAAGGAGGAGGTGGTGGAGGGGGTTCTATACAAGGCAATGGGGAAGGAGGTGGAGGAGGTGAAGAATATACGTATGTTGGTGGTGGAGGAGGAGGTGAATTTGGTGGCGGAGGTGATGAGTATATGTATACTGGTGGAGGAGGAGGCGAATTTGGTGGTGGAGGCGGCGAATTTGGGGGCGGAGGTGGTGGTGAATTGTAATAGTAAGGTGAAGGGGGTGGAGGTGAGTGAGCAAGCGGTGGAGGTGGAGAATTAGGTGGTGGAGGAGGTGGGGAATTTGGTGGTGGAGGTGGAGGTGAGCGTACACAATAAGGCAATGGTGATGGAGGAGGTGGAGATGGTGGTGGCGAATAAACGGGTGGGGGAGGAGGTGGAGGTGATGGTGGAGGGGGAGATCGTGGCGGTGGTGGTGGTGAATAAACTGGTGGTGGGGGTGATGGCGGAGGTGAATAGACTGGGGGTGGAGGAGGTGATGGAGGAGGTGGAGAGGGTGGTGGTGGCGGTGGTGAATAGACTGGTGGTGGAGGTGATGGAGGAGGTGGAGAGGGCGGTGGTGGCGGTGGTGAATAAACTGGAGGTGGAGGAGGAGTATAAACTGGTGGCGGAGGCGAATAAACAGGTGGCGGAGGGGCAGGCAAGGGGGGTGAAAGTGGCGGAGGAGGTGGCAAAACAGGAACAAATTTATGGCATCTGAAAGCACTACAATGAATTTTTTTAGACAAAAAGGCCTTACACTGTCCCGGAGAGCGTTGCACCGGTCTGTTGGGCAAACAATTCCGTTCATCATGAAACTCTGGCAACCCCAAACACACCGGCGGTTCACCAGTGAAGAAATTATAAGAATACGTAAAATTCTCAAGCTTAGGAAGCTGACAAATGCTTTTCGGAATTGTTCCAGAAAGCATATTATGTGCCACATTCAATTGCTCCAAATTCACCAAATCACCAAAATTCTCCGGCAACGGACCCATCAACTGATTAAAGCTCACATCAAATACAGTCAAATTTTTCAACAACCCAATCTCCGCCGGCAAACAAGAACGCAACCCATTATTCATTAAAATTGCCTCATTAAGATTACTCATATTTCCAATACTCGCCGGAAGACACCCATGGAAACTGTTACTCGCCAGAACTATCACAGAAACCGGCGAATTCCCAAAATTCTCCGGCAACTCAAACGCAAACCGATTATGATTAATAAAAATGGCGTCTAATGGCTTATCAAAAAGCTGTGAAGGTACATTACCTTCAAATTCATTGAACCTAATATCCAAAAATATCAACTTGGGTAAACTCAAAACAACATAAGGAAACTTCCCAGCAAACCTGTTATTACTCAGATCCAGCTCGAACAGTATCTTCAACTTGCTGAACTTTCTCGGTATTGTACCACAGAAACGGTTTGAATTGATATGGAAAATCCCAAGATCTGTAAGAAGCCCAAGCTCTTCCGGGAGGTACCCTGCAATGTCACCATGGTTAAGGTCAATGCCGGCAACTGTACGGATTTTGGGGTTATCCAACGCCGGAGCACAGAAGATTCCGGTGTAGCTGCATACATTAGGACCAACCCAATTAAGAGTGATATTAAAGGGATCTGAAATGATAGCTTGTTTCCATGCTTGTAAAGCAATATAAGCATTCTTGATTCTATCATTCTCAAACACCATAGATGGATCAATTTTCACATTTTCACCTCTATCACCAAACTCATCTCTGTAATACAAAAGCTGCCTGTGTTTGATGAACTGAGCTTCAGAATCAGTTAAAGGGCCATTTTCAGAGACAGTAAACTCAGCATTTGTGTGTTCAGTAAAAACTGAACACAAAAAACAGAGCACAAGAAAAAACAGAGAGCAAATGGGTGTTTGAGTTTTCTCCTTCATCTCACATAAGTCATCTGATAATCAAGAATGCTTGTTTTTTTATGCGTTTTTCTGTTCAAAGATTGAATCTTTAACCAAATGTGAGATGAAAAAAGTGAAGATCTATGAAGAAAAATGGATTTGAGAAATGGGGTTTGGGGAATTTTTTTATTTTTGGTTTAAAAATGGAATCTTTAAGCAAAATGTGAGATGAGAGAGATGAAGTTTTGTGGAGAAGAAGAGATAATGAAAATGGTGTTTTTGAGATTTGAAGAGAGAGAGGTTGAATTTATTTTTAGATTAGGGATTTTGGGGTTGTGTGAATAAAGAATAAAGGAATTCTTTTTAAATTATTTTTTTTTAAAACAAATTTATTTATTTATTTATTGTAAGAAGCAAGAAATTTCCAAAATAAAAAAGGACAGCTAAATCACAGCTCAAAACCCACTAGATCCTCTCACTTTCTCTATTAGTTGTATGTGGAGTAGCTATTAGTAGCTTACTATATATTCTCCCTCTTTTTAAAAATAAAAATAAAAATGTTTTTTCACTTTAATAATAAAAAGTGTGTGACTTTACAATGTTGATCTTTATTCTACTAATATAAGCATTAGGGTTTTGGAATAATTTATAATCAAATAATTAAGTCAATAATTAAGAGTCAATTATTTTATTTTTTAAAAGAAAAAGAATTAAGGATTTAAGAGATGAAATGAGAATTGTAAATTTATAATCTAATGGTTATGACTTTTAGCAACACTTGTAGACATTTTCCTCTTGTTAGCTTCTCCCATGACAAAAATAGGGATCTATGTTTCACCATCAAAAGAAGAAGAAAAAAGAAAACCTATTAGTGATAGTAGTTAATTGCTATCCATCAATTTTATTTGGCATAATACATAAATATGATCTTTAACTTGGTTTAGGTGACAATTACTTTAACTTTAGATATGCGCACGTAGACGCTTAAACTTATATAAAATTGAACAAATAGGCGCATTCATCCTACATGACAATTTTTTGTGTCCTATGTGGCATCATGTATGTATTATGTCATGTAGGACACATATGTCTAATTGTTCAATTTTATGTAACTTTAAGTGCGTACTTGTGCACACTCAAAATTTGAGGACATAGTTGAAGCCAAGTTAAGGTCACTTTCTTTTTTGAAAATTAATTAATTTTAGCATAATAGATTTTAAGAGAGATAGAGATAAGGTGAAGAAGAATTGAAACTAAATATATGATCATAGATAAAAGGGAAAAGACGTGTAAAAATAATTTTACAAAATCGGAAGTATTATCGGTTAACAAATAATGTACATGAATGAGTCTTTTCTCAAATGGAAATAATAATGGTGAGTCAAACTTTTAACATATGATATAAATGAACATTTTCTCAAACGGAAATAGCATAGTCATGCCAAACTTTTAACAAATACCATAAACATGCCATTTTCTCAAAGGTTGATAGAATATTTAAACTTCTCCCTAAATAAAAAGATATAAAAATCGTGAAGTAAAATAAAATGATAATAAATAGTTGATTGTTATCGTATTTTTATTTTTTTTGGTCCTTACGTTAGGTGTTGGTTTAAAGGTTAGTCCGTGAGATGAGGCCGGCAATTAGTTTCTGTTTTATTATATTTAGTTTCTTTTTGGCTTTTTGGCGAGGTAAAGACAGGGTTCTTGTTTTAATTTATAAATTAAAACTAAGTGGGGTTTGTTAATTTTTGTTTGTTTGTGTAGTTGAAGTATATCTAGGATTAGAAAAAATATATAAAATTTCTCATTTTTTAAACTTTTTCTGAGTAACAAAATGTCACCGATAAGAATTGTGTGATAGATTTCTGAATTTGATTTTAGAAATTTTTTATATCGTTAAGGAGTATTTTCCACTTAAATGAGTCCTTTTTTTTGAAAATTTATAGTCATTATTCTTTTTAGCGCGCTCTAGATAAAATTATATATAACAAATTTATAGATCACTAGAAATATAAATCGCATTAGATAAGTTTGATGTGATATATAATCTCAATTGAAAAGGTATTGACGAGGAGAAATTGATCTCTAATCTTTCTAATATAATAGCACATGTTATATCAATTTAAATTTTATATGACACAGATTTAAATTAATAAATTTTTAAAACGAATACCTAACATCAAGCGGAAAATCAAGAAACAAAGAATGACAAAATGTCAAACAAGTGGAAGGCCAGTTAATGAACTGTTTTTGGCAATAACGTAACGAGTAATAACAACATGAAATTGACTTCTCAATTCTTCTAACAACTATAATATTTTCTACCTTTTAAAATAAATACATATTTTTCTCTTTTAAAAATATTGATCTAATTAACTTTTAAACTTAAAATGATTTAGTCAATTTAAATATTTAAAAATTATACAATTAGTATCACTAGTGGAAATTTTTTCATAGAGATAAATGATAAAAAATATATATTTTAAAATACTCATAAAGCTCATATAATTTAAATTTAGAAAGATCAAGAGTGACAGATAATTTGAAACAGAGAAACTTGTTTTTCAAGTTCTCGTTACATGCACAATTTTGGACGCGGTAAACATTTTTGCGTAACATGGGGAAATAAGGAAAGGAAGAAAAAGAAAAAAAAAACACGACTTTCTAATTTATATTGCGTGGGAAATTATGACTAATATCATTAGAATATAGACTTTTAGTGATACACTAAATGTTTTTTTTAATTAATGATAGTGGAATCATGTTAGTTTGCATTTACCTTAATTATATTACAAATATATGTTGTCCTTCATCAGCAAAAATAATTTTTATTTTGAAAGATTTAAATAAATCAAAAGAAACTACTTAATATATGAAAAAATTACTGAAATATATATCTTATTTTATCATAATCTCTAAAATTTCTTATAATTTAAAAAGAATCAAAAATTCCCTCTCGAATATATCACTCTCCTCTCACTTATACATCTCTATCTCCCTTTCGGATACATCCCTCCCTTCGTATTCAGATGTCCTATCCCTTCTCTGATACATTCCTCCCCTCTCGAATACATCCCTCCCCTATGTATCCGGACGTCTATTGATGTACCTGGAAGTCCAATGATAGATCCAGAAGTCTAGTGATGTATTCAAAATTCATAAATTTTAAGGGATTTTTGTAATTTGAAAAAGAGTATGGAAATAATGTAATTAACTTTTAACACCATGAGATTTATGATATATGTTATTGTTCTCATCCTACTTCATTTATGTTTATGACCAACTATACACACGACTTGTCATCAAGATTCCTATCTCAAATTAAGAAAATCGGAGATTTCACCATTTATCATGCATAAAATAATACTATACAGATTTTCTCATAACTTATATATGTATTAGTATACTGATTTCTACATTATCAATCAAATAACATATTATTTTAATATATAAATAACTTATTTCATATATATCTATCAAACATTATTAAGTTATACAAAAAATAATATACAAATATTTTTTTTCTTATCTACATGCCAAACCACTTCACGACGTGAATTTGAACCATTGCTTCTTCTAATTGCCGTCACTAATTTAACCCCCCCACGCCCACCCCCACCCATAGTGTCGATTTCAAACTCTCTTTTTTATCCACTGATAATAAGTCAAAATGGAATTCAAACAAAGTAATCATCACATCATCATGATAAAAGGACAAGAATTGGTTGATGGAAACTTAAGAATTGACACAAATTAGCTTGAAACTAAAGCTTCATCAAACATCAATTAGTAAGAATAATTTGAAAAGGGTCATGGTGGGATGATAAGTATTTTTCATCCTTAATTAAAAGTTTTGAATTTGAGTTCTTCTGAGCAGGGACTCACCTTTGTTAAGAAGTGTTTTACCTTACTGTGAGAGTTTTCAGGGCGAGTCCTGTTGAAAATAATAATTCAAAGTTGCAGTAGAAATCCTAAGTTGATTAGAATTTATTATTTATGGTATTTACTTATTATGTTTAATTAGGATTTGTTAGTTAGAGTGGTTCCTAATTCTAGTTTAATTTGATTTTTACTTTTATATGTAGGGATGTTACTGTTATTTTTAATATATAGAAATATACATAAACATATGGAACTTTAGAGTTTGTAAATAAAAATATTTTCCTTCAAGTCCCTCAGACTCTTATATAGATATCGAACATCGGGTGAATTTAATTTCTTTTAGTAAGAATCATTTGTTACTTAGGCTTGCCAATGTATATGTTGTAGCGAGGTGCACATAATCCTCATCATATTTAGTATCAAAATTTAAAATTTATGATTTTAAATTTTAAGTATTTTTAAATTATTAAGTTCTAAATTTATTTTTATTTTTAAATGAACACAATTTAAACTAAAAGTACCGAGTGCGATCAAACTCGTGCCTTGATCTCTAACTTAACTGCGAGCTTGGATGTTAAAGTTGTGTGAGTGAAAAATATTTTTTCCTCATCTTAATTTGTGTAGTGCTGTTTGACTTGACAGATTATTTAAATTAAAAAAATGACTTTTAAAATTTGTGATTTGAAATGTAACAAATATTAAATATCTATATTATTATAAATCACTTTACTACGATAATTTTTTAAAGTACGCCGAATAAAAAATAACTATTAGTGATAAGGCAAATATATGGATGAACGATAAAGGAAAGAGCAATGCATATTGTTTTTTATTAGAAGAAAAATAATATTATTTTTAGACCAATTAAAAAAAAGTCACATAAATTTACAATAAAATTACTATTTTTTTTGTAATAATAGTCAAATAAGTTTCTCTATTTCAAACAAGAGTATATCGGATATTTATTAATTTTGAACTTTGACTCAAAAAATTAATTTTGTATTTGAAAATGAAAGTTATAACTCCCTTATTTATGTGTGATACACACATATACCCCATCTTACCCACTTTAATTATTGCTTTAGCTTAAGAAAACTATCCCAAAATAATTAATATTTAAAAAAAAATTAAGATCAAAGTTGATAATTGTTTCCAACTACTTTTAATTTAAAAAAATATCTAATTAATAGAGATAATTTAATAAATTATATGTATATTTGTTATTTTTTAACGAGTGTGGATTGATCCAATAATCTATCGAAAATAGCTTTTTCATCCCATAAAAATAGGGATAAAGTCTGAATACATTCACGAACAATTTAAAATTTGAATTTTATAAATATTTACTATGATTTCGAGCTAATATACAATAATAAGGTAATT